CATTTACTCAGGAGCGCGGGATCAGTGAATATATTTGTATACAGAGAAAGGATCGAGAATATAGGATATAAGGGTTGTGTGTGAAGTTTAAGACAAAAAGAAGCCATAGTTGTAGAATTGGCTGAGCTCTGAAGGCTGTATATCGCTCTATTAAATAAATCTCATGTAACCTTATTGCTCACAGCATGCACAACCCTATTTCTAGCTATGACATAGTTCTTACTATTAATTCAACTCTCACATTTAACAGAGAAAGCTTCTTGTTGTACGACCCACAAGTTTCAACCCCTGCCGATAAGGCAGTTATTGCAAATATTTTATCTCATGAGTTGGCTCACCAGTGGTTTGGCAATCTGGTGACGCCTAAGGTGGGACGACTTGTGGCTCAACGAAGGATTCCTACTTATAAAGTTAGGAGTAGATCTATGTTAAGTTACATGATCATGATTAATAATAATGCAATTAATAATAAAAGTAAATAAACAAATGCAAAACATATTAACTTATTTTGCTTATCTCAAAAGGTGGAACCAACGTGGAAGGCAATGGAAGAAATTGTCTTTGAAATAGTCCATCGTGTGTTCAATCTAGACAGCCTGGAGTCCTCCCACAGGATTAACATTCCCTCAAACCCGACGAAATATTCGAAGTCTTTGATGACATATCCTACAATAAAGGTCGGTATTTTTTCTTCATTGTTTTGGTTTTTATGGTATTTCTTTGTCCATCTCATTTCTTATCTATTATATTTTCTTTCTACAATGATCTAGGAGCGTCTATCATCCGGATGATGACCCACTACCTCACAGAGCCGACCTTTAGGAAGGGATTGAACAACTATCTAAAAGCTTTGTAAATATGCTAATATAAGTGTACCTTATGAATGTAATACTAATTGGTGTTAATAATGACTCAGTTAAAGGTTGAAATTTATATCGTGCTACTTTGCAATTGTCAAGTCTCGCTCTATATATTATGATCTGAATATATGTCCATTTCATTTAGCACATACAATAGTTCTGTGCAAGACGACCTGTGGAAGCATCTGACTCTAGCGGCTCACGAGGACGGCATTCTACCCCAGGACGTGACTGTGAAGATGATCATGGACACGTGGACGCTGCAGATGGGATACCCCGTCGTGAAGGTGACAAGGAGCCCCGACGGAACCTCTGCTACTTTGACCCAGGTGAGCTTGTACTTAATGACTTGATGGAAGAGAGGAAATATATTCAGTAAACATATCATTTGGCCCTATATATACCCCGCCTTAATTTCCAGGAGCGGTTCCTCTTAGAAGGGAGCGCAAACTCTTCCAGCACCACGGATTACAAGTGGTGGGTGCCTCTGACCTTCACGACCCAGAAGCGAGGCCAACTTCGGCCAGACTCAAGCCAGTTTATGGATGAAGGACTCTGAGGATCACGTCACCGTCTCTTCTCTTCCCCCGAAGGACCAGTGGGTCATCTTCAACCTGCAGCAGGCGGCCTACTACCGAGTCAACTACGACGACCACAACTGGAATCTTATCATCAGCAGAGTGAAGAAGGACCACCAGGTTATTTGCCCCATCAACAGAGGGCAGATTGTCGATGATGCCATGAACCTTGCTAGGGCTGGTACAGTAATCTTTATCTTTTTAATAGTATTTCTTTCTTCTATTAAGGAATTATATAGCTGTTTTCAATGCATATATGGATATTCAAGAGTTACTATCATTTTCTTGTCTGTATTACTCAAGAACGTCACATTTACATACACTAATGTACAGGGAGTGAACGAGTATTTTTGATGAGTTAAAATATATGCGTGTTCCAAAATTAGTATTGAAAATCATTTTATGATTTCGTAATTTTTGAATAGCAAAAATGGATACCTTCCATTCAGGTCATCTCAGCTACAAGCTCGCCCTGGACGTTTTACCGTATCTGCGAAATGAAGGAGAATATCTGCCTTGGGCTACAGGCGCCAGGAAATTCGTTTACATAGAGAGTATGTTCAGACGCAGAAGTGGATTCGGCGCTCTCAAGGTGAGGCTCGGAGGCTCACACGGAGTTTTACTTGCCTGCGATGAAACCGCAACCGATATGCCGAATTGTTTGATCATTTATTTTCCAGAATATAAATGTATATATACATATATGTATGTAATATCTATCTATTATCTATCTATATCTATATATATATATATATATATATATATATGTATGTATACACATACATACGCGTATATGAATATTCTTTTCTTTCCAGTGTTACCTCCTGGATTTGGTGCTGCCGCTCTACGAGTCCGTTGGGTTCGACAACAACATCGAGGACTCTTTCTTGGAGCAAAAAAAGAGGAAAATAGCCGTGACATGGGCTTGCAGACTGGGCCACAAGGACTGCCTCGAGAAAGCGCTCACTCTCTACAGGCACTGGATGTCACAGCCGGACAATTCGAGGTTAGCGCGAGTGTATGTCGTATCGGGAGTGTATGCACTTTTTTGGATCAGTATGATTGTGATGTTGTCATTATTGATCTCGGGATTATCATTATCGATAACTTTACCTTCATTAGTGGTTGTAACAGCAGGTTATTCTACTTTTTAATTATCATTATAATTACTACTATCAAACCTTCTGTCATACCAAATTAATAAGGACTAGATACTCTACCCAAAGGAATATAATGATATCCTGATTTATCAGTGTAAAAATTTCAGCATCATTTCGCCAAACCTTAAACCTGTGGTGTTCTGTCGCGCCATCGCCGAGGGCGGGGAGGCCGAGTGGGACTTCGCGTGGGACCAGTACGTTACTTCCAGCGTCGCTACCGAGAAAAGGCTTCTTCTCAGATCTATGTCCTGCTCGAAGCAGACTTGGATCCTATCTAGGTACGTCGTCTTGCCTGTGTGTGAGAGAGGGTGGCGGGTGGGAGAGGCAGGGCGAGTGTCGGGGGAAGACAAGGGTATGGTGCTGCACTTGTGGATTGCACAATGGCCAAGGGGCGCCAAGACCACGGCTAAATCCAGAACTGCTGAACTGAAACCGATATTGGCTTTCTTCTCGTGGAAGGAGACCACTTTGGACCACCTTGAATCTCTGGCGATATAGTCCTTGGCCAAGTGGATGGGACGGTCTCGTGGAGCAGCATTACTACGTTCTACGGTTGCGAGAACGGTTGCTCCTCGAAACAACGAAGAGAAGGAGGGACGAACGAACGAAGGTCGAGAGCCAAGCAGCAATGGGACAGGTGGTCGTCGGCTATTGCATCGAACCCCAGGGTGTACAGTTTTGTGTCTCAGGGACTGTTTGGATGTTCAAAAAAAAAAGAAAGGGGGGGGGGGGGTCGAGAGAGAGAGAGACGGAGGCAGAAAGGAGAGGGAGAGGATGCGCATGTGATATGTATATTTCCATAGTTAATTTCTACATGCTTTTCCAGATACCTCGAGATGGCTACGAACAGGAGCAATGGCATAAGACTGCAAGACGTTATTTATGTGTTAAGAGGTGTGAGTAGCAATGACGTGGGACGCCCCATGGTGTGGGACTACCTCACACATAACTGGAACAATATTTATACTTTGTAAGTCTTTTTCTATCACAAAAATACAGTGTGAGCAAAGTATATATTTTATCAAAGCAAATATAACAAATACAAATATAAAACATAGACAAAGGCAATGACAAGGAATGCCAACCTGTAGGTTCAT